GTTGTTGATGTTGTTGTTGATGTTGTTGTTGTTGTTGCTGCCGGCGTTCAGATGATAATTAACTTTGTTGCTAGACAATGATGCATCCTCTGCAACATTGTCGCTCGCCGTTGCGCAACAGTTGCAGCAACAACATGTCTCCTTCAAGAGCAGCAATTGTTGCTGCACCTCGCTGACGCAATCAACGCATGTACAACAATTAAACTTTTCGAATTTTCCGCCAAAATCGTTTTCACCTGTAATGACGTCAGCGTTGCTATTGAAAACAGAGATGTGCTTGGTACCACCGTAACCGATATCTTTCGTCAAATCGGTTAGTACAAATCGGTTCTTTTTGATGTCGGTTATATCTGGTTTCGGTAATATAATTGGTGGTTGATGTTTTGGGCGGACTAAATCATCCCCATCTTCCACATCACCATGGTGATAATTATTATCATAATTAGTGAAGTTTACATCACTGAAATCGTCATAACCGCTAGCCACTTGTTTCTTTGGCAAGAATTTTCTCAACTTAGTTACCTCGTTGTCCGATGTGAAAGGACAACCGGTAGTATCTTTACTACTAGCGTTACAGCTATTACTATCGCTAATTTTATGCCATTTATTACCACCACTTACACTAATACTACTACTATTACTATGTTTGTAAGTATTACTACTACTACTACTAATGCTACTACTACTACTAATGCTACTACTACTACTACTACTACTACTACTGCTACTACTACAACTGTTTCTGAATTCATAAGTATTAGTAGTAGTATTTTTACTATGTTTATAAACGTAACTATTATTATTATTATTGTTATTATTATTGTTATTATTATTATTAATACTGCTTTCAAGTTTGCCAGAATAATTGATATCTTTTATATATGTATCATTTTTGTTTGTATCATTTTCGTTTGTACTATATCTATTGCTGATGCAACTCACGGCGCTTGTATCTATACTGACGTTATTATTATTATTATAATTATTATAATTATTATTATTATTATTACTATTATTGTTATTATAATTATTGTTGTTATTATTATTGTTTGCCGTGTATTGTGAAGGAGGGTACGAGTGACGATTCTCATTCGACGATAGATTATTATTATTATTACCATTAATACTTTTATTATTATAATTATAATTAATATTATTATTATTATTATTATTATTATTATTATTATTATTATTATTATTATTATTATTATTATTATTATGCCGGCTACACTGATAGAAGGATGAGAACAATGGATTATTTATACTGCTGTAAGTATTACTACTATCTATGACGGTATAGAATTTATTATTATTATTGTTATTATTATTATTATTATTATTACTACTACTACTACTACTTTTATTGTTAATACTATTACTACTACAAGTTTCAGAAGTGGTAGTGGTAGTAGTGGTGGTAGTGGCAGTGGCAGTAGTAATCTGGCAACTACTACCTTTACTGAAAAAACATTTAGCAATATTACTATTAGTAATGTTGCTGTTGTTGTTGTTTATGTTGTTGTTGTTTTTATAGTTGTGTTTTGTTGTTATTGTCATTGTTAATAGGATGAAAGTTATTTGAAAGTTTATTGTTCAACTGTTTTTTATGTTCATTTGACGTGTCTACAGAGATGCGTGGTCATGGTAATGATGACGCAGTTGATGATGATGATGACGATGATGATGGTGACGATGATGATGGTGACAATGGTGATGATGCTGAATCATCACCATCATCATCATCATCGTCATCATCACCCCCGTCATCATTATCATCATCAACCTCCTCCTCCTCCTCATCATCATCATCATCATCACCCTTGTCATCATTATCATCATCGTCATCATCACCCCCGTCATCATCATCATCATCACCTCTTCTTGACGAAGATGATGAGGCAGAGTAGCATTCCACCAATTAGCATACCGACAAGAACTCCAATGATGACCGCTAGCACCGCCCCTTTTGGATTATATTACGAACAATTACTTTATTATTATATTACGAATAATTATAATATTATTATTATATTACCAATAATTACATTATTATTATTATATTGCGAATAATTACATTATTATTATTATATTACAAATAATTACATTAATGTTATTATATTATGAATAATTACATTATTATTATTATATTATGAATAATTATACATGATAATAATACAGAATAATTTTAGTACTACTATCAGTGTTATTAATGATAACATATTGTATTATTAGCAGTTAAAGATAAAATAATATTTTTTTATTATTAGTAGTAGTATTAATAATAGTAGTAGCTGTAGTAGTAGTAGCAGCAACAGCAGCAGTACTAGCAATAAATTCTTCGATGACGCTACTACAAACTCGTTCGGGAAGTTTGATTTGGTAGTCCTTACTGAAGCAACAACAACAACCACAGACACATAAATACACAGACACAAACAAACAAACACACAAACACTTGATACACATAAGCACACACAAGCACACATAAACGTTTGCACATACATAAACACACACAAACAAACACATATACAAACATATTCAAACAAAACTAACACACACACACACTCTTTATACATAATGAAACACACACACACAAACACACATACACGTACATACACAAACACAAACACACACACTCTTTATACACATAGAAACACACACACACACACACACACAAACACACATACACGTACATACACACACACACAAACCCACACGCACATAAAACTTATTTGATTACCGCACGATGCTAAGTTTTTTTATGCCATGGGGTGCCATTTAATGACGTACTGTGACGTCAGCGTTTTGATTTTTTTTGTTTTTTTTTTGTTTCCATTGTTTTGTTTTTAATACTTTGCTTATTTTTTTGTATTTTATTTAACTCGACTCTCTCTCTCTCTCTCTCTCTCTCTCTCTCTCTCTTTCTCTCTTATAACTATTATTTTTTCATTTCACCATTCTAGCACAAACTCATACGCACACACACACACACAAACACAAACACACACAGAGACAAATAAACATACACACACACACCAAATGAATATTGTCTAGATATAAGCTCTAAAATCTCAAACAAATACAAAAAAACTACGATTTAAATGAATTTCAATTAAAAATTAAATCAATTAAAAATTTCAACGAATTATTAAGTAACAATTAATTTTAATTGAATAATTATAAAATAATAATTAGATAATAACAGTCAGATATAATATTAATCCAACCCCCACTCTTCGTATCATGTGACCGATTGTACATGGAAGCTTTAACCCTCACTATCTTTTTCCTGTCTGGATTTAAAATTTTCCATTTTCGATCACTTGATTTTGTACTTGTAGTGTGTGTAATGTATGTGGATATGTGTGTGTGTGTATGTACGTATGTATATATGTGTGCTTAAAAGTGTGTGTGTGTGTCTGTAGCAAAAAAATTGTATATCAGAGCAAAACATTTAGTATCAAGTATTTATTTAATTAATTAATTTAAAGAACTGGGAAACCAGAAACCAGAAGTAATTGTACTGTCTACAAAGTAAATAAAAAGATACTAATATACATACATATACAAAGTATATGTACATACATTAACGTACTCTTACACATGTTCACGGAGTGTACGTAGAATATAACAGACTCAATGTATAAAAAATGTTTTTATGAAAAAATAAAATGAAATAAATCAACGAAGATGTCTTAAACAGTGAAGAAGAGTTATGGAAATACGCTAGAAATTGGCTGTAGGAAGACAACCACAGACACAACAACCACAACGACCACAATGACAACCACAGCAGTCACGAAAGCAGCCACAGCAGCAACAACATCAACCCCAAATCTCTCTAGGCATATTCATGTGGAAAACCATTCGACGAGTTACTCACCGTCATCTTCAGAGAATAACAGACCACCCCTTCCACCACCAATCAAACCTTTCACCACTTTACCAGAAACGTCGCCACCATTACCACCATCGCCACTGTTGCCGCTGCAGCTACCAGTGACGCCAAACCACTTTCTCTCCCGGCATACCATGTAGTAAGTTTGACCGGTTTCGTTACAAACAGCTGTCAGTCTGTTACCGGCTCTGATAATTTTGGCGCCTTCCAATTGGTGGCTGGCTGGGTGCAGGTCGGCGCATCCTGTAACTAATTGTAGTTGTTGTGGTTGTCTTTGTTGCAGTTGTAATTGTTGTGGCTGCTGTGGTTGTTGTGGTTGTTGTGGCTGCTGTGGTTGTTGTGATTGTTGTGGCTGCTGTGGTTGTTGTGATTGTTGTGGCTGCTGTGGTTGTTGTGATTGTTGTGGCTGCTGTGGTTGTTGTGGCTGCTGTGATTGTTGTGGTTGTTGTGGCTGCTGTGGTTGTTGTGATTGTTGTGGCTGCTGTGGCTGCTGTGGTTGTAGTGGTTGTTGTGGTTGTAGTGGTTGTTGTAATGTTTTTTGTTTTTCAGGAATATCAACGACAGACATAATTAGTGAAAATTAGATCATAGAGGTGAGAAATTTTTCAGTGTTATTGAGAAAGTCCATTGTGAAATTACTGCATTGGTATCTGTAGTATCATTATATATAGTATCTGTAGTATCATTATGTATAGTATCTGTAGTATCATTATGTATAGTATCTGTAGTATCATTATTTATAGTATCTGTAGTATCATTATATATAGTATCTGTAGTATCATTATATATATATATATAGTATCTGTAGTATCATTACTAACCCTGATACTGCAGCATCACTATCCTCCAAGCGTCTTTACTTTTCGTCAAATTACTTAAAAGATTCTGAATCTGCTCGCTACCGACGATCACGTCCACTTCCGCCAATCCGCTTCCGGTCACGTGAACAGATTTTGATAATGATGATGACGATGATAAGTTTGAAAAAGTTGATGATGATAATATTGGTGACGACGACGATGATGATGATGATGGTGATGGAAAGAAAGAAAAAGGGAGGGATTCTAATGTGCTAGGCGAACAAAAACTTATCACAGATTGCGACGACGATGTGGACGTTGCAGCGGCTGCTACAGATGACAATGACGTTTTTGATGATGATGGTGGCGGCGATGATGATAATGATATGTCGGCGCCGATTGGTTGGAACTTTGCGACGGAAATACACGATGGAAAGAAGGCAGAATCGAATGACGGAAGACCTGGATGAGTGGAGTGCACGTTTCACAACTAATATTATTATCATTTATTATTGTTATTAATACTATTATTATTATTATTGCTATTATTATTAATATTATTATTATTTTTATTCATAATGACGAGCATTGATGTTAAATTATCCATTATTTTAATCTTTTAACTATTATAATAATTGATCATTTTATATTTCTTTCTTTTTACTTATATTTTGGCTTATGAAGAAATAAAAGAGTTCTCATTAGTATTGTTATTATTATTCCCATTACTATTATCATTATTATTATTACTAAAAAAAGACATCGAAAGCATTAAATAAATATGAAAAACGAGTTGAAAAAAAGAGAGATGAAAATGATAGAGAGAGAGAGAAGGATGATGGTGAGGAAATGAAGAAATGATGCTACAAAGGAGTAAGAGGAAGGGAAAATGATGAAATAGAAAAAGATGAGGATGATGAGAATGAAGAAAAAAAGATGATGATGATGATAAGAATGAAGGAAAAGAAGATGAAAAAGAAAAGGAGGATGAAGAAAAAGAAGAAGAAGAAGAGACTGAAGAAAAAGAAGATGATGAGGATGAAAGAGATGAAGATGAAAGCACGGATGTGGCTTCATGTTACGAGTGAGTGAGAGTGTGGCGACTGTTCAGCCCTGGCGGGTCTGAAGTGGGTCAATATGCATAATTACATCAACTACAACTACATCAACTACAACAAAAAATCAACAACAACAACAAATACTACTGCTACTACTACTCCTGCTACTACTACCACTACTACTACTACTACTTTTACTACTACTACTTTTACTACCACTACTGCTACTTAAAATACTACTACTACTACTACTACTACTACTACTACTACTACTACATCAACTACAACAAAATCATTAACAATTCTACTACTTTTTCTGCTACTTCAACTACAGCAAATAACATCAACAACAACAACCACAACAACAACATCATCAACAATAACTACAACAACAACAACAATAAACATTAACAACAACATCATCAACAACAACAGCAATGACAACAAAAACAACAGCAACAACAACAAATTCTAAAGTATATTGACACGTCAAAAAATTCCTATAGAAACATCCAACAAAATTTTTCTTCTAAATTTCAAATAAAAAAAAATATTTTAAACAAAAACAACAACATCATCATCATCAACAACAACAACAACATTTTCAGTAACATCAATAACATCAACAAACTTAACCAACCAACAACGACAAAAGACAGAAACTACAACGTTATAAACAATGACATTAACAACTGTTTATACAGCAATAACAACAGCATAAACTGAATCCTGAAAACTGCCTTTTTACCCAAATTTCATTAGCAACAACAGCAACAACAACATGAACCATCACCATAACAACAACAACAGCAACAACCACGAAAAATATTTTTTTATAAAAAAAAAACAGACTAAAATTAAACAGAGTGAGACAAGAGAACAGACAGAAAACAACATCAACAAATTTTAAAACACAACAACAACAATATTTACAACTTTAACAATTAGCAACAAAACAACATAAAATTAACCAACAACCACAAGAATTTACGTAAAATAAAAAAAACAATATAAAAAAATGAATTCAAAAACAACACTGTACTAAAAAAATTACTCCATCAACAACACCACCAAAAGAAACAACAACAATGTCTTTTTCTCTCTTTTCTCTCTCCCTCTTTCTATCACTCTCTCTCTTCCTCTCTCTTTTACTGTCTTTTTTTTCTTTTTTCTATCTTCATTCCTTACCTTTTCTGTCACTTCTTCTGTCTTTACATCACTTTCTTTTTATCTTTTTGTCATCCTCACCCTCTCTTTTTCTCATTCTTTCTCTCTTTTCTTTAATGTCTTTCTCTTATACTTAAATATTTTAACGCTATATAAATCTATTACGCAAAAAAAGTTTCGCATTTTACCTTCCATGTTATGCACCAGCCGTCAATCTTTATATGGCGGCAAATGGCCCGACTTTTATGGTCCTCTCGTGATTTTGGCGGGAAAGGGGTTAAACTTTTTACGTGTTTTTTTTCTTTTTTTTCAGATTGAACTGTCGAACATTGATGTATTTAAGATTTGTGAAATCGTTTTACTGCCAAAATGTATTTGGCGCCAAAAAAGATTTAGCGCCAAAAATTGTTTTTCCCACAATCTATGATTTATCGTCTACAAAAATATTTATGAACGATAAAACCCAAAAACCACTATCTGAAACTATTAAGAGAATTGGGTTAAAATCCAAAAACTACTAAAAAGACTATTTGAAGAATTGTGGAGAATTTTATTTTTTTACGTTAAATTGAACGTT